TGCTCTGAGATGAGATTCTCTCATCCCTTAGGATCGATTAACCCATCACATGAAAATTTTTCTCTCTTCAACTTTTGAAGTTTTCATTTGAATATTTTCTGTTAGAGCTAGTCCCAAGAAATTTACCAAAGGATAATTTTGGTAACCCAACAAAGACAATAAAACAGAAAAGATAAAAGCGACATGAACACTAGATTTACGTGGTTCGATCAATTGACTTTGACCTACATCCACGGACGAAAGAGGAGCAAATCACTACTATAAAAAGGGACAATTACAAATGCCTTAGGAAGATGTTCCTAGGCCATAAAACACCTAAAAATACTAAACAAGAAAAACCTCAACTATAAGCCCAAACTATTTAATTGAGTGTGGACTTAAACCTAAAGCAAACACTTAGGTTTTTCTTGTGGTGCCACTTGTGGTGCAACTTGTGGTGTCTCTGACTTCAAAGCTCAGACCCTTATTTATAGTTTCAATACGAGACAACAAGTCTGATTTTCCCGATGTGGGACTATGGGACTTGCCAAACTAACAAATCTCCACCTTGGCATGTCCCAACAAAACTTGCTCCACCTTCTTCACAAAAGCTACAATGGGCAATCACCAACAATGAATACCAACCAAGTCCAAGCACTGCTTGAACTTGTAAACTGGAAGAGGCTTCATAAGCATATCAGCTGGATTGTCCTTCGTACGAATTTTCTGAACAAGGACCTTTCCCTTAGCAATAATATCCCATTTGCATCTAACAATTTTCTTACCCGAAGGCGGCTTCACAAGATCCCAAGTTCTATTCCGATGGAGAGATTCAATTTTTTCATTCATTGCAATCAACCACTTAGCGGAATTATCACAAGAAACTGCATCTGAGTATGAAGTAGGCTCACCAACTTCACTTGTTTCTTCTACAACAGACAAAGCATATGCAACCAAATTTGCATATCTTTGTGGTGGTCGAATATCTCTCCGTGGTCTATCCTTGGCTATGGAATATTGCTCTTCCTCTGTAACATCTTTGTTAGTAGACTCGGGACCATCTACTAGCATTCTTTAAGTAGAAGAGTTCGACTGAAAAGAATTAGAACTCCCAATCTCAAGCTCCACTTGCTTCTGCGCACTATCATTTGTACAACTAGTAGATTTCTCTTTGGAAGATAACATAGATAATTCATCAAAAGTAACATCTCTACTGATTACAAATTTTGGGGATTTGGGATCAGAACACCATAATCTGTATCCTTTCACCCGAGAAGCATACCCAAGGAAAATGCACTTTTTAGCCCGAGGCTCTAATTTTCCTTCATTTACATGCATGTATGCTGGACACCCAAAAATTTTTAAATCAGAGTAATCAGCAGGAGTACCTGACCAAACTTCCTCTGGAGTTTTAAAGTTAAGTGTTGCAGAAGGAGCGTGGTTGACAACGTAATAGGTCATATTAATCGCCTCTGCCCAAAAGTCTTTTGTCAACCCTGCATTTAAGATCATAAACCTTGCTCTCTCCAAGAGTGTTCTGTTCATACGTTCGGCCACACCATTTTATTGAGGCGTCATCCTAACAGTGCGATGCCGAACGATTCCTTCGTTTTTGCAGAATTCATCAAAGTCATCTTCACAAAATTCCATGCCATTATCTGTTCAAAGCTGCTTAATCTGTTTACCTGTTTGTTTCTCAATCAAAGCTTTCCATTATTTAAAGGTTAGAAAAACATCATTTTTATGCTTCAAAAAATAAACCCAAACTTTCCTGGAATAATCATCAATGAAAGTCAACATATACTTAGCACCACCCTTAGACTGAACATGAGTTGGACCCCAAAGGTCTGAATGAATATAGTCAAGAGTACCTTTCGTTTTGTGAACTACCGGAGAAGTGAAGCTGACTCTTTTCTACTTTCCAAAAATACAGTGTTCACAAAAGTCCAATGACCCAGTACTCTGTCCGCAAAGTAGACCTCTTTTGCTCAATATGCTCAAACCTTTTTCGCTCATATGACCCAAACGCATATGCCATAATTTGGTGATGTCAGAATCAAACAATGATGATGACGACACTACAACCGAGCCTGTGACAGTAGTTCCCTGAAAAATATATAAGCTACCAGACCTACAAGCTTTCATAATAATAAGGGCACTTCTAGAAACTTTCATAACTCCACCTTCAGTTGTGTATTTACACCCAAGAGCCTCTAGGGTGCCTAAAGAGATGAGATTCTTTTTTAAATCAAGAACATGTCTAACATTAGTTAGCGTCCTCACAATACCATCATGCATTTTAATTCGGATTGTTCCTCTACCAACAACATCACACGCGGCATTATTGCCCATTAAAACAATTCCACCATTACAAAATTCATATGTGAAAAACAAATCCCTATTGAGACACATGTGATAAGAACAACCTGAATCTAAAATCCATTCATTTTTAGACATCGTCCTGTCATCAGTAGTAAAGAAAATATTTTCAACATTCTCATCAGATGCTACACTAGCTTCAGCGGACTTAGTAGTTTTCTCAACAAGTTTTCCTTTTTGTTTTAATTTATTTTTCAATTTAAAGCAATCAGCCTTAATGTGCCCCATTTTATGACAATATCTACATTCCAAATTTCTATGTCTGGATTTAGATCTAGATTTAGATCTACTACTGTCAAATTCTCTTTTATCCATTCTACCCCTGACAACCAGACCCTCAACCTGATTCTCTCTACTTTCCCTAATGATATTCCTGTCTATCTGCTCCTTAGATTTCAATGCAGATTTAATTTCTTGATACGAAACTGTTTCTTTTCCATAAATCAAAGTATCACGGAAATGCTTAAAAGATTGGGGAAGAGAACACAAGAGTAATAGGGCCTTATCCTCGTTATCAATTTTTGTATCTATATTCTCCAAATCCATAATCAAAGAATCAAATTTATCAAAATATGAGAGTATAGATATACCTTCAATCATCCGAAGCATATACATACTCTGCTTCAAGTAGAGACGATTCTCCAATGTCCTCTTCATGTACAAGGCTTTAAGCTTGTCCCACAAGCTCTTAGCCGTAGTCTCCGTAGCTACCTCCCGTAAAACCTCGTCAGAGAGATTTAGAATGATGCTTGATCGGGCCTTCTTATCCATACCCGCAAGCTCTTCTTTTGACATATCATCTGGAATGCTCTCGGCTCCCTGTAGTACCAAATCAACTCCGTCTTGAATTAGAATGACCTCCATCTTGAGTTGCCACAAGCCGAAGTTGACATTTATGTCGAATTTCTCGACAACGATCTTTGTTATTGTCATCGTTGCCAAAAGATCCTGAAACCAGGCTCTAATACCAGTTTGTTAGAGCTAGCCCCAGGAAATTTACCAAAGGATAATTTTGGCAACCCAACAAAGACAATAAAACGGAAAAGATAAAAGTGACAAGAACACCAGATTTACGTGGTTCGATCAATTGACTTTGACCTACATTCACAGACGAAAGATGAGCAAATCACTACTATAAAAAGAGACAATTACAAATGCCTTAGGAAGATATTCCTAGGCCATAAAACACCCAAAAATACTAAACAAGAAAAACCTCAACTATAAGCCCAAACTATTTAACTGAGTGTGGACTTAAACCCAAAGCAAACACTTAGGTTTTTTTTGTGATGCCACTTGTGGTGTGACTTGTGGTGCCTCTGACTTCAAAGCTCATACCCTTATTTATAGTTCTAATACGAGACAACAAGTCTGATTTTCCCGATGTGGGACTATGGGACTTGCCAAACTAACATTTTCTATTATCACAAGGATAGCACTGGCAGTCACTCCACCCAGGCTCGTGCTTTGGCTTCACGGGGGTCATCATGTCCTCATACTCATTAGGGCTTAGCAGTCACTTTGATGGCCAAGTGTGGATCACATGCTTCCTTAAATTGAGAATGATGCTAAAACATCAAGTGATAGGATTTTTCATTCTTAGAATGATGGGTAAACGTTTGAAAAAAAATCTAATTCAATTAATAATTTTTAAAAAAATAAGATTGAGACATCATCAAAAAGCATATATTTGCTAAGGAATGATTTGATCCCTTCATTCCCAATAATATGATTGAGTATTCCTCCATTGGAGATATGGAGAGGTTGATACAGATTCATGAGTCTAATTGGTATAAGAAAAGAGGCCACTTAAGAAAAGAAGAGAATGGGAATTTGTTATCGACAAGAAGATGGTATTTAACAAAGAAATCCATAGTTCCCTTTATAGGCCCATTTCAATTAAATGCAGACAATAAAGTTTAAACATTAAAGTTTTTTAATTAAAATAAATATAGACAATAACAAAATTCAATACCTTATTATTAAGAAATAAATATTTACAATGAAAATTTTGAATTTCTTAAGAAAAACACCAACAAACCAAATGACATCTTCAACAAGATAGCAGTAGGAGAACTAAATATAGATGTCAGCTCATATGTATAATCTATCTACTAGCCTCCCCCCCCTCCCCCACCAACCCCCCCTGTGCTCTCTCTCTCTCTCTCTCTCTCTCACAGTTCCTTCAATATCATGGCAACACTATTCGTGGAGAAAACCCTAAAGCAGGTTAACCTGCAGCAGTTGCATCAACTCTACGATCCATTATTTTCTCCAACGTTATGGAAGCAAGTGGTTGAGCAACCCTTCGATATTCGGCTGCAGGTTTGATTATGACGAGTTCCCAACACGGAGAATAAGTCTCCACTGTCAGATTAACCGAGACTCTTCTTTTCTCGAACTTTTGACTCCTTCATGATTAGCCGTGAAAGATGTGCATGTCATATGAGTTTTTGCATGTGGTTGTTCCTGTCATATGACTCAGCATTGAAAGAAGCCATGTTTGACTTCTCTTCGTTGAACCAAATTAGAGTTTGGAAGTAATGATTCAAGACAGGTAAAAAGGTTTCTCAACCACTGGTATATTTCTTGTGCCCTTAATGAGCCCTTCTCCTCTATAAAAGGTCGCCCATTTCCCTCTTTCTGCAACTCCAAATTCATGAGCTTCCCTTCCGATTCCGACTATATGGTGGTGCCAAAGCCGGTGGTCTTCTTCTTCCTCTTTCTTGCGTACGTAGAATTCGCCGTCTCCCTGGTCCTCTACTGCCTCGGCTTCTACGTGCCGTCGGAGCCGCTCACCCCCCCGTGGGAAGAAAATGTGTTCTACTTCCCGGGGGCGGCGACCGACACCACATCGTCGGCGAAGTCTCCCTCCGCGGTGGCCCCTTCGTCCATAAAGCAGCAGCTCAGGGTGGTAGAGTTCTCGAGCTTGCCGAGGAGGTGCCGCTTGGACGACCCCACCTGCGTCATCTGCTTGGGAGCTCTGGAGGCCAGGCACATGGTTAGGGAGCTCGGCAACTGCGGCCATGGATTCCACCAGGAGTGCATAGATAAGTGGGTGGACGCTGGTCACGTTACGTGTCCGCTGTGCAGGGTTCGCCTGCTGCCCGCCGCGAAACAGGAAGGGCGGTGGCGAAGGTTTCTATGGGTTTGGTGAGATGTACATATCAGCTCACCTGTCGTCTGTGTAGGGCGCGCCCGTTGCTTTCTCTGGGAAGGAGTTTGATAGCAGTTAAGATTTTCGTAATTAAAATTTCTTTAACTACATAAGAAATACCGTAATTCGATTGAGAAATTTTTTTCCTTAACGTGTATAAATAGATAGTATCATATTAAATACGATGATAATCTTTTTTTCATTTAATTCTTAACATAATATTACAGCTAAACTTGTCTTAGCAAGATTTTCTTGATGACAGCAACTCTGATCTCGCAGCCATTGCTACTGCTGCGGCACTCTCTCTCTTTCTCGCTATCCGATGTCACCCGGTTGCTAGTTTTCTCCTCCCTACGTTGATGTCTTCTCTTCTCCTACTTGAGCCGGTGGCTTTTTTTGTGATCGCCTGCTTCGACAACTTGATCCAGAGGGTTGAGTACGACGGGAGAAGTGGTCGGTGAGTCACGCACGCATCTCACAGATTCTTCCGCTCTCCCTTTCGTTGTCACCAACAAGTGCGTTGGCCACGCTGTCTCCTACCGTGGTTTCTCGGAGTACCGCCTTAGTGACTACTTTCCCCGAACTCCTTCTCCGCCTCATCGAGCAACATCCAGAACTGGTTGATGCACTTGGTGCGGACTATCACAAGTTGTGCTAGTGATGAAAAGAATAGATGATAAGAAGGTTGAATGTATTGAAAAAGAAGTGAAGAAGCTTTATTGAAATAACTTTAGCTTAAATACATTAACATGTCTCTCTCCTATTTATACAGATTAGGAGAGAGGATTTCCTCAACAGAATAGAGAATTTCCTCATATAGTTAGGAAAATCTTATCTTCTATCATACCCCCGCAAGATGGTGCTCCTGTTAAGGATACCAATCTTGGATCGATGTAAAGACGGTTTACGAGCCAGAGGCTTCGTGAGTGGGGCAAGAGCAGATCACTGCTACTGTTGTTGCTGTTGTTGCGGCTGCGACGACGATGGCGATGGCGATGGCTGCAGTAGAGGAGAAAGCTGCAGTAATAAAAAAAGCTATAGCAATATTGTAGCGGAGGAATAAGCTACAGTAGAGGAGGAAGAGAAGGAAGCTACAGCAGAGGTGTAGTAGAGGAGAAAGCTACAATAGAGGTACAGCAAAGGAGGAAGCTATAAAAGATGAGGAAGCTGCAATGATGCTACAATAGAGAAGAAGGCTACAGCAAAGGAGAAAAGGTGGGGCAGTGCTGGTGAGCGCAGCACTAGAGATGCCACAGCGGAAGGGAACGGATGTTAGTGCAGAGTGGCAGTGGAGAAGACAATTGCCGTTCACTAAGGAGGAAAGATTTGTCACACCAACGACTTGACAACGGAAAAGCAGCGGTAGAAAGCCTTTTCTTTTGCTACCAGAGGTGGAGAAGCAATAGTGATGAATCGGCAACGAGAATTGCTACCGAAGGTGGAGAAGCAATAGTGATGAATCGGCAGCGAGAAGAGAGCTTGCTCTAAGCAAGCGGCTCTGATACCATGATAAAAAGAATAGAAGATAAGAATCTTGAATGTATTGAAGAAGCTTTATTGAAGAAGAAGTGAAGAAGCTTTATTAAAATAACTTTAACTTAAATACATCAACATATCCCTCTCCTATTTATACATATTACGAGAGAGAATTTTTCTTAACAGAATAGAGAATTTTCCTCAATAGAGTAGAGAGATTTCCTCGTATAGTTGAAAATCTTATCTTCTATCAGCTAGAACTTACTGAATACACTTAGTGGGAAGGGACAGGCCTATTAAAATCACAGGCCTATAACGAGCTTCTCTTCCCCGTGGATGACGCTCCTAAAGGAAGCATAGTCATAGCCTCTGTTGATTGTTGCTCCCTCGCTAACTGAAGTCTTCCGCTGAAGGTTCCTTCTGCCTCTTCCTCTGTCGAAGCTTCCTCCAAGCCTCCTTCAAATTGGCTTTATGATTTTTCCATCTGTCTCCTTTACCGAGTGTTGCTCTCCCTTGGACTCCACCACCCTTCCGACCACTGAACTCGGCTGAAAGCTGTGATCTGCACTGATCATAACCGTTATCGCCTATTGCCAATCACTGCCTCACCGTCAACTGCCACAAGCATAGCTCACAACAAAACAGACCTACTCTTCCAGGCTACACCTTCAGGTCACTAGAACCTATACAACATGTCAGCTTTGAGTCTTCCTCCTTCGCATCCTCACTATCCAGCTTTTCAACAGCATATCGAGGCTTTGCTCCAGCAAGCCATCTCGGATGTCGAGAACTTTTCATTCCCTTGCTGCCCATCATTGTCATCACTGCTAAGTAAGGAATAGCAGTTATTCCTTCCTGGTGAAGCACCCGCACTGCCCTTCAGTAGAGTTCTATGGTGCACTGCTCTTCCCATTCTTCACCGCCCCAATCGTTAGCTGCAAGAATTACTAACCGAAGATCTATAGCTTTGCTTAATATTGCACAACCAAACCAGCCTGCACAGAGCTAAACGCCTCCAACAAAGAACTCGTCTACCAGTAACTCACCTCGGGCGACGTTGATTTGCACTGACATTTCTTCCTCCTTGATCACTGTCGTTGCTACAGCAACAGTCCTAAGGAAGAAGTATGGCTCATCGCACCTAATCATAGCAGTCTTCTCACCCACATTTTATTGTTGCAAACTCCCACTTTGCTTCCTCAAATTGGTACATATCCTCAACATGTCCTCATCATCTACATCTGATGCTCTAGTTACTGTTCCCGCAGGAAACCAAAGTACTTTTTCATATATAGGCCTTATCTCTATCAATACTGCAACTCTCATTCCCTTCAAGTTATCCAAAGGTGGCAACTATGCATCCTAACATGCTCAATTTTCTAATATCCTATTTGGCTATAATCGACTAGGCTACGTTGATGACTCTCTCTGTTGTCCACCAGCGATGCTCAACATCCTAGGAGCACCCAGTCTAGTACCAAATCCGGACCATAAACTATGGTTATATCAAGATCATCTTATCCTCCAAATAATTCAAGTCTTAGTTGTTGGATCCCTTGCCCCACTCATATCTTCATATAACACTGCTACTGAAGCTTAGTGCAAGTTGTAAACCACCTTGGCAAATCATTCACGTACTCGCATGCTTAGTCTCCTATCCAGCCTCATAAAAATAAAATAAGAGGGAAGTATTATTATCAATTATCTACAAAATATAAAATTTATCATCGATAACTTGGCCTTGATAGGTCATTTCGTTAGTGATGAAGAAGTCATTGTCCACACCCTTAACAGCTTAGGGGATGAGTACAAGGAACTAGTAGCAGCAATACGAGCAAGTGACTCATCAATGTCATTCGAAGAACTCTACGACAAGTTAACTGACTTGAAGATATATCTTAAGTGCGAGGACAAATTGTTAGGATCATCCATCACTGCTCAAGTTAGTCAAAAGTCCAAAATGAGGGGCAACTAGTATAACAAGACTGTCAACAAAGGTTTGACCAAGATACCTCCTAAACTTATGAGCTCCAAACAAACTATCCCTCCACAACATCAACATTTTAGTCACAACTATTAAGGTGGCTACTTCAATTATCCTCGACCTTGGCGTCCTAAACATCTAAGTCAACAAAGAGTTGTCTGCCAATTGTCTGACAAAGTCGAACACTCTATAAAAGTCTGTCGATCTCGACTCATGCTTCCTCCTCCATCACATTGGCCCCAAGCAAATCTCACGACTACTCCAAATACCAATCAACACATTTGGATATATCATCATCGATAATGGTAAAGGAATCCTCATTACTCATACTGGTTCCATAATGCTGAATTCATATAACATAACTTTTATACTCGATGATGTTCCATGTGCACTTCACATCAAACGAAATCTCATTGCTGTTTCTCAATTCTGCAAATAAAATAATACCTCAATTGAATTCTTTCATAACTCCTTTTTTATCAAGGATTTGAGCATAGGGGCATCCTTGGTCCGAGGTCGGACAACATTTACAAGTAGTCGTTAGTTCCACAATCACCTAGTCCACTTCCGTCGTAGCTCCAATTGATGTGTGGCATCGTCATCTTGGTTATCATTCATCTTTTATCTAAAAAAAATTACTTTCTTGTTATTATCTACTTACTCTTAAAATTAGTAGCATTATAACTCATTGTGATGCTTTTTTAAGTAATAAAAGTCATAGACTCTCTTTTGGAATCTTCTCCATATCTTGCTATAAACCTTTTGAAATTATTTATACTAATGTTTGGGGCCTTGCCCAATCACTTCTTTTGATAAGTTTAGATTTTATATCATTTTCATAGACTACTTTACCAAGTACACATGGTTATACCCTCTCCACCATAAATATAAAGTTTTAACGATATTTTCTAACTTTAGAAGTTTGGTCGAGAACTTCTTTTAGTCTAAAATCAAAATAGTTTACTCTGACGGTGATGGTGAATATCAAGCCCTCACATCTAGTCTCTCGGCTTGTGGTATATAACACCTTAAGTCACCCCCTCATACTCCTCAACTAGTTGGTTCTGCTGAACACAAACATCGATATATAGTTGAAACTGATCTTACACTCCTCCATCAAGCCTCTATGCCAATAACATTTTGGTCTATAGCCTTTCAAACTGCCATCTACCTCATCAATTGTATGCTCACTCCAGTCCTTCAGAACTAGTTACCATTTGAAAAACTATTTCACAAATCCCTAAACCTTCAAAAACTCAAAGTATTTGATTATTTTTGTTATCCATGGCTACTTCCCTATGCCTCACATAAGATAACATCAAGATTTAAGCCTTGCATTTTCATTAGATACTCTCTTGAATATAATATCTTTCGATGCTACGAGCCCTAAACTCAAAGTTTTTATATCACGTCATGTTATTTTTGTAGAGTCTACCTTTCCGTTTCAAAACTCTAAGTCTTCTTCTGTGCCACCTACTCCAACAAATATACATCATTGGAGTATATTGTCGATCCCGTCAAACGAGTCTCCTATAACACTATCCAGTCCTTCTTCTCAGGATCCACACTCTCTTCTTCTCCCGGTTCAGCAGCTCCTCACCACCTCCATTGCTCCTCTCCCTTCTTCACAAGGTTCCCCTACTTATAAAGTAATGCCCTCGAAAATACAACCATTACCTTTGTCCTCTTCTGAGACCAATGACACTGAAGTATC